GATTTACGGAAATTTATTTTTCTGTTTGATTAGGTGTCTACGGTCCATCAGTGGGACAGGGGATTGTATGTATATTGCTTGATTGTTCTACCCCTGTTCCCACTCTCCCTACCCCCCTGTATTCTGTGAACACCGGCACCTCTCAAGTACCGCATCAGTTCAGASTGATGTCGAKGGAAYAGGACACCGGGGCACTGCCACGGCGCAGTGCCAGGATCGCAGTTCGTGCCCGCCCTGCGGTACCTCCAAGACCCAAGAGATTCAGCAGACGGACGACTCCAGTGGCATCAAGTACGGCATTGACAGTACAAGACACCACCGGAGATCTTCCCGCATGCCCGGTCCGAGAGGCCAGCGAGCCTTTGGCTGACTATCGTGGGCGGCTACAGGCATTTACAGACGCCGTAGCCGCCGCCAAGGCTCAGCAGGCTGCGGCAGAGGCAGAACGTCAGCGGCTGGCCAATGAGGCGGCAGCCGAAGCTCAGCGGACAGCTGAGACTGACGAAGCGGCACGAAACAGACGGAATGCCGCCAGCACGGAGTCCCTGATTGCTAGTGAGCATCAGTGGACAACGGTTCTCCAAGGCATGATCTTTGTGCCTACGGAAACGCAGGCGGAGCCGACACAGGCGGAGGCAGAGAGAAGTAACCTGGCTACCGTGATGTTGAACGTAATGAGGGGAGTAATGTGGAACAACAAACTACTGCAGGCACACCTGCACGCGGAACGACAGCAAAAACAGCAGTACCAGCAAGACCTGGCCGCTGTAACGGCTGGCGTCCGCGACGCAGCAATGCAGCAGCAGCAACAGCAACAGCTGATGAACTCTACCATCGCACGCATCAACGGCATTGAGGCCAAGGCCTCAGCAGCGCCAGGCTGCACGACGGACGCGACGAAGCAAATCAACGAACGCATCAATCACGTCGTCACCATCATCGGCGACATAGGTGTTTTCAACGGACCGGACACGATCAGCAGCACGGTGGCCGCCATCAAGACGGACATCACCAAGCTACAGACGAGACCGGACGCCGCTACAAAGATGTTCAAGATGCCGCACTTCGACATCTGCAAGTTCGACGACTACAACAAGACGCTTTGACATGGTGGCAACGTTTCCTCACGGAAGCGTCATGCCGCACTGTCCCGGCGAACGACATGTTGAAGGCACTCTATTTGCAACTGATTGGAGGAGCGTAGGCATGGATGAACCACCTGGCGGCCACCCACAAATGCACCATCGCCAAACTCCACACGCACATCACATGGAAGGAGTTCCGAGCAGCTATGGTTCACCCGGTTCATGGTCCGCAACGTCGTGAAGGCGGCCATGAATGAGGTGTACACATGCTCTCAGGGGAACATGCCAACTCGAGACTGGACAACGAAGTGGCAAAAGATAGTGACCACACCAGGCTTCGACTTGACGTTTCCAAATCAACGATCCGAGTTCTTCTCGCGATCATGCGCGGGATTGCGGTCGGCACTCGGTAATGAGTACGACTATACCACATTCCAGGGCATTCTGGATCGAGCGAACTTGGTCATCCAAACGGACGACAAGGCCGCTAACGAGAGACAATCCCAGCCACATTATGTGGCTAAGCAGGCCTATCAACGTCCGGCACATAACAATGTCGTGATTTGTGAGGAAACCGACGACCACCACGCTGCAGCAGCATCCTCGGGTGATGGAGGAATTGTCGCAGCGCTCCCGCTGAAGCGTCCCAAGAGAGTTCGTAAGAACAAGGCGACACAAGAGACGGCAGCGACGGGAGGTGGGCAGCAGCCATGGACGGCATATAAGATCACCAAGGAGGTCTATGACCTACGTCAGAAGTACGGATACTGCCTTTGGTGCAACGGAGTCACTCATGTGACCGCACAATGCCCCGAAAAGGGCAAGGCACGC